TAGTGATGAGATCTCCTTCCGTTTTTTTATTTGTTTGAAACTTTATTTACGGAGAGTTACACATAATAGTTTGACTAATAAACTTGTGGCCCTCTTAAGAACCCTACTAATGAACCTTTTGTACTAAATGTGCGATGCTATCTCATAATATATCAACTTTGAAAGAGATCAACACTAATATTAAATCAATGCAAAATAATACAAACCTCTTCGCTCACATCTTCTTTCTCCACAAAGACATCAAACTTGCAAGATGTTCCAGGTTGAAGGACCAATCTCGTTGTCAAGTCATTCGCAACTAACGTCTTCAGACCTCCAACATTTGAAATGAAAACTTCTGAGTAACCTTCAAGTTCACGTCGCTTCTTCCGAATCACATCGTTCACCTGGTTACGTGCGTAATTAAGACAACCTTCAGTCGTATAGACATCCACCATTCCTTTGTCAACGTTACATTCCACTGCACAAAATGCAGTGTGTCCATCAATTATGGCACTGTATTCTGATACAGAGGTTTCTATCTGCTTTATAGTTGAACCTTTGCAGCCAATCACAGCTTTAACCAGCTCTGGACCAATTGGGTAGATACTGTGTCGTACAACTCGTGATCTTGCAATGGTTTCTTCATCAATATACTGTAACATATGCATAGCAACTTCTGCCAGCCAGTCATAGCGTATTGGTGTTAGATTAAGTAAGAATACCTGATTCGTGCGTTTCAGTTGCTGGTACAGTACCCATTCAGGCTGATCACCAAGACTGGAGAGAACAGACGAAGGATGAATTATGGCTTTCTGATTGGATGAAACCGTCATATAGCCGAGCTTCTCATGACCAAATGACCAAGCTATATTTTCAAAATATCCAGCTAACAAACTTTTACTGAGAGATTCCTGAATGTTTTCTGCTGTCACTTGTAAGTTGAGTCTAGGTCGTATTTTAGAGAGCGCATCTCGAATCTCCTTACCAGTTTCTCGAGCCGAGCGAAGTAATTTGGAATTCAATGCATTCTTCTTGCACCAGGCTACTTGAGTCTTAGATGACACCTTAAACCACTCTTTATACACATCAATTGCACTCAGGAGATCTCCACTGGTTTGGCAGAATTCTTGTTTTTGAATTGCGCACTCGTTTCTCTTCTCCACGGTTCCTCGATAGAAAACGTCATGTCCGCTCGACATAAGTGCCGCGGCAATGATGACGTCATCACCACACCCTCGGTCCAGTCCCTCGAGCAGCGCCTTTGATAGTTGTGGTTCAGTTGGTAGTTGAAGCATTTCTTCGCCTAAATGGTTCAATGTTCCGTCAGGGTTCAAAGCACCCAGTAGTTTCAAGCTCTCTAGTGCTTTCTTCAGCGCAGAAGGTGGTGGACTCTCAACAAAGTCAAACTGCTCGATATCTGTGACTCCTAAACTCAGCAACTGAAGGACAGCCATCCCAAGATGCATTTTTAAAATCTCTGGTTTTGTACTTGAGTCCATGTTGTTGTAATCTTCTTCTGTATACATACAGTAACACTTGCCTGGCCCTGTACGACCTAGCAAGAAAGAAAATTACAGATTTTAATTATCCTTAACACAAATATACATCCCGCTAAAACTGAAGGCCCTGGTATACGTAACAATACTTCATGATAGTTGCAACACAAGTTATGTTGCATAAAATGTATTCGCAAAGAAATTGTGTACGTAACTCACGGCATACAACACAATTTACAATATAGTATGAAGTGTTAAATTTTTTGCAAATTGTTTAGGATATTGTCCACAGTCACTCAGTTGTAAAGGGAAGAGTACGGGTTGTTAATCTTCTTGCAGCTGAGAACCGAGTTGACCCATGACTCATTACGAAGCAGAGAGAAGGGTTTTTTGGTGAAGGAAGTCAACCATAGGATTCAGAGGAAAACTCTTGAAGCACAGGGGGAAACAAACAATTCGACTTACATGAGTTTTCATGTTCATCAATTCAGGGCAAATTAATTGTACATCAAGTAACAACAGTAAGGAACAGCGCGCTAACCATATCCGCCATTCGTTCTTGTCAAACGTATTCGCTAACGTACCTGCCCTACCAGTCCGCTGTTTAGCAGAACTCTGGCTCACAAGTTTAACATCCAAAGTGGTCATATTTCTATCAGGATCGAAGGACGGTTCTTTCACCATGCCGGAATCAATAACAATACGAATGCCATCAATGGTGAGTGACGTCTCTGCACTGTTTGTTGCGACAACGATCTTTCTTTTTCCAGCAGGCGTTGCGTCAAATACCTTAAAAAAATAGAGATTCGTTTGTCTTATTTGAAAGAACATTTAAAATAATGTATAAACTTCCTTTACAATTATTTCGTATCTTGCTTGGTTTTCGAAATAAATCGACTTACTTTGAACAAAAGCAGCGTGCGTTCCGCCATCTTGGATACGCACTTAACTTTATATTGTTATTTTTGTATTGTGGGCTGACACCTAGCATGGGACACCGTCCCGTTCGTGCCTAGCCTTATTTGGCTGTTACCAAATTAAAGTTGTTAAACATATGCATACGTCACAAGTAGAGAAAAAGTGAAATTTTTATCTTGCAAAACACATGTCATTATCGAAGTCTTTTTTAGTACTCAATTAACTCATAACATTTTAGGAAACTTTTCGAAGAAATTTAGTCCCACACGAAGAAGTTTTAGCAAGTTTACCCTGCTTGTGACGTCATTAAAAACGCAGTTAATTAGGTCGATTATAATACCAAGCATACCAAGATGGCGGACTGCACACTGTTTTTCGTGAAAATATTTCGAAAACCAAGCAAGGTACGAAAACGTTGTAAAGGGTCTTCATAAATAACTTTAAAATTTCTTTCAAATAAGACAAAGTTAATTTTTATTGCCATATCCCTTTAACTCGGTCTAACACCTGAGGTTTCACATCTGCTACCCGGCTTCCCCAAAACGTTCAATAAATCCATGAGATTTGTAGGAATAAAGTTTTCACACGAGATGTGTTTGAAGCTCTGTTTACACTACGCTCAATTTTTGGTACGGCACGGATAAAATTGGTACCCGTACTACTTTTTGGAAAAAAACAACAACACAAAAAAAGGATGTTTTTCGAACAAAAAAACATTTAGGGTCAAGGTTGCAATTGGGATCATCATCAAAGGGAAATATATTCGCACGCGAAATACGAGGATCCAACCTAAAACTTTCTCTTTTTAATATAATATACAAAAGTATTGCAGTACCTTCTGTTGTTCATCTGATTGTAACTTTCCATGAAGTGGAAGAATGATACTTCCCCTTCCTACTTTCTTCTCTAACTTATCACATGTCTTCTCAATTTCATTCTGCTGCGTCAAAAATACCAGAATATCTCCCTGTTCTCCGCTTTCACAAACCTCCATCACCTTCTCATACACACCATCAACATAATCATAATCTTTAGGTCTTTCCCTTGTATAAACACTCTCTACGGGAAATGTCCTACCTGGCACTTTCACCAAGGGACAATTGTCAAAATATCTTCGAAACACCTCGGTATTCAACGTAGCCGACGTTACGATGAGCTTAAGATGAGGAAACGAAGTGAGCTGTCGCTTCAACATGGCCACAAGTAAATCTGTGTGAATAGATCTTTCATGCGCTTCGTCGATAACAATACACGAATATTGTTGCATCGTCTCGCCGCCTTTCAGAACTTCGTTCAATAAAATACGGTCAGTAACAAACTTGATAATTGTCTTTTTATTGATCTTCTTATCTAAACCAACATGATATCCTACTTCTTGGCCAACCTTGCATCCATACTCTTCAGAAACGCGCTTTGCTAAACTTATTGCTGCAATCTTTCGAGGTTGGGTTACAACAATCTTTTTATCTTGACTCCACGTTTCCTCCGCTAGATATTGCGCCAATTGTGTACTTTTTCCAGAACCCGTTTCCCCAACAAGAACCACAATCTGACTACCACCGACAGTTTCCAAGATTTCCGTGCGCTTCGCATAAATTGGTAAACTTGCCTTAAACTTTTTAAATTCCCTGTCTGTCATATTTTTGTGAATTTTCAAAAAATCTTCCATTCCTTTTTTGTTGTTAACACTTCGGTGATCTTCAATGTATTGATTAAAGCTTTCCAAAAGTTGTTGGAATTTCTTTTCAAACTCGTTTCTTTGCTCAATAAGCTCTTGCTTTTTCCCTTCGTATGTTTTTCTTGTTTTTTCACGACGATCGGATTCTTCAGGTGAAAAATGTTTTCGCTGCGGTCGTAAATCAGGGATGCTATTTTCAAGAACTTTTAGATTTTCGTCATTTTTAGTGAGAAGATATTTTTTCTGCTTCTGCACATGATCCAAATACTCCTGAAGCTGACGTTCTAATTTTCTCCATGCTAATTCTTCTGATATTCCAACACCTGCTGTTACTTCAAGCTTTTTCCCTCGAACACGAAATCCATTCATTTGCTCTATCGCTCCACCAGCAGAATTTACGGACTCAAAATACACGCGTGCGTAAGTTATTTTGCCTTCTTTTGTTACGTTAATATCAACAACGCCTTGACAGTTCACGAAATAGTTCTTTACATCTTCCTTGCTAATATTTGGATGTACATTTTTCACGACAACATATAGTTTGTCCTGGTCGATTTCTTTTGGTGGTCTTTTCCAAGTTGGTTTTATTTCCGCATCTTTAAAAGACGATCCTCGTAAAGTTTCGTATATTTTTTGGCAATCGTCTTGTGAGTTTAGCTTTAGACAGAAGCACTTCTCTTCTGTTTTAACAAGACTTAAAATTTCCACACCCTCGCACTGGTCTTTAACGAACTTCCGAATTTCTTGCTCGCCCGTATCCAGGGGGAATCCACGAAGCTGGACAACGTGATTGATTGGCTTCTGTTGTTGTTGTTGTTGATATTGTTGCATTACTACTTGTAGTAGTTGTTGTTGCAACGACAGTTGTTTTTGTGGTTCTCTTAGTTGTTGTTTTTGTGGCTGTTGTTGTTGCTGATGTTTTTGTTGCTGATGCTCTTGTTGTTGTTGTTGTTGTTGTTGTAGTTGTTGTTGTTGCTGTTTTTGTTTATGTTGTTGCTGTTGTTGTTTTTTCTGTTGTTGTTCCTGATGCTGTTGTTGCTTTTCTCTCTGTCGTTGTTGCTGTTGTCGTTGTTGTTCTCGTTTCCGTTGTTTTTGTTGCTGTTGTTCTTGCTGTTGCTTGTCTTGCGCCTGCTGTTTACTTTGTTGTTCTTTTTTTGACGGCTTCTGCTTTTCTATTTCTTCTTTACTCTCCTGCTCGTGACAATGGACATTTGAAGGCATATCTTCCTTACGAGAGACAGTTAGCGTCTTTTCATAAACTGTATGCTTAGGAACGCCAAATGTAGCACTTTCATCTTTACCTTTCATGGATATATCTAAGTTGTCAGAAAGCAAATTTGCATTGATTTCAACTTCAACAGGAGAAAGAAAAGTAGCCCCATTGTCATCCAAACAACTTTTATCTTTTGTGCTTGTAATACTGACAGCAGACGTTTGTTCAATTGAGTTGAACTGTGGGGAAGCAACCGTTTCTACAGGTCTTCCATGTTTCACATAGACTCGTGTAGACCTAGACTCGCCATCAGAATTCTTTCTTTTTGAGCTAGCACTGCAATTCAAATTACTTTGTCGTTGTTGTGGCAGTTTTTGTGCGGCATAATTATTTCTCTTTGAGCTCATTACAATGTCGTTGCCTTCAAAGGAACTTGTTTGCTTCCGTGACAGTGGTTGCAGTGATCCTTTATCACGTCCTGGGAGAAAGTAAGAATCACTGGTTAGCTTCTGCTCTTTCTGTACCAACCCCTGTTCTTTACAATCACTGCTGCGTGGACTTGCACTTGTCCAAACCTTGGACGTCTCTGCACCAACAACCGTAGCATTCTCACTGCAACTCACTGCTCCAGTGACAGAATTAAGTGGGTCATTCTTCTTAGGCAAGCTATCACAAGTGAAGTCATTTCTAGACAAATTTTCACTTGAACAGGTTTCGGTATCTGCATCCACCTCAAAAATTGGTTCTTTTTTCTTTAAATTTTGCATTTGGCAACTATCTTCTTTTGCTGTGTTTCGATTGATGCCGTAACACTCATTCTTGTCACTAACTGGGAACGAACTACGGGCATCATTGTTTGAACTACTATCAGTTGTAGAACCTAAATGTTTACTTGAGCATCTTTTAGGCACAGCAACCGCGTCAACAATTTTCTCGTTTGCAGGAGATCTTCTCTTGTGCAGATGATGCCCCTTTACGTCTGTGTAGACATCTTGAGTTGTTGTATATGTATCATTTCTGCTGGAACTATTGCATCTCTTCAAAGGTGCACTTGGACTACTTTCTGAGAAAGTATTTACAGCGCGCAGAGGAGCTGTGCATGTTAAAGACGTTTTATTTTCTGCTAGGTTTTCCTTTCTCTGGGATGTTTGATCATGTTTCGACCACACTGGTGTCTTTACAGGATCATTGGAGTTTACACTAGCCTGGAAAACACAATTTAAATGTTAAAATATATTTATTATCTTATTGTTAACACAAAGCAATGTGTATACTGCTTTTTAGTCAATTTGTTTAGAAATAATGAAGCCATCATGATTATTGGAGGACATGCATGGAAGGCGCTTGTTAACTATTATGAAACAAGATCTCCAATCCTAGCCTTAATTAATGTATTGAATTTAAAATTCTAAACAAAATCTGTGTCACCTTTGCTTACTGTGTCACCTTTGCTGGGAGGACGACTATCGATTAACACACTAAGGCCTGTTTTATACGATGTTTTAAATGCTCTGGGAGTCTGGGGGCTGGCTCGTTGGTTTCAAAATGCCAATGACTTTTTTATAAAGTTATTCCTACAGAAATATTTTGATCTTCAGGGGTATAAAAATATAAGAATGTGCATGGTTACCATGGAACATTTTTTTGCAGCACCCGGCCATACATGCCAAACTACTGCACACTTTTTGACGGATACTAGGGGGTCAACTTTTTGCAATAGGCACTTCTTTAAATGTCATTGTCGATTTTTTGTTGTTTGAAGCTTATACTATTGTTTTGCGGCGAAATATCCTGCTGCACAATAATATTTGAATGCGTATTAAACTATTATGCTAAAAAACAATGGATTTATAATTAACATTCCAATTTTATGTTAACAAAAACAAAAGCGTGTGCAGCGAATTTCACTCACTTAGCGAATAAATTTTTATATTGTCATTGGCGTGTCAAAATTACTGCACACGCCAGTGCATAAAGCAAAATTTATGCATTTATTTAATGCACAACAACAGTAATATGATCTATTAGCAATTCGATTTCAATTCCCAGGGGCCTAAAATCTTTTATGCTTAAGAATTGCAAAGTGATTTCTTAGGAAATTCCGAGGTTGCGTTTTTTTTTATACAGGGTGTATAAAAAAAACGCAACCTCGGAATTTCCCAAGAAATCGACATGGTTTTAAAGACAAAAGATTTTAGGCGCCTGGGAATTTAAAATGTCAAAATTATTGCACACGCGAGTGCATAAAGCAAAATTTATGCATTTATTTAATGCACAACAACAGTAATAAGATCTACAGGGTGTATAAAAAAAAAACGCAACCTCGGAATTTCCCAAGAAATCGACATGGTTTTAAAGACAAAAGATTTTAGGCGCCTGGGAATTTAAAATAGCACAACTGTCAAAATTATTGCACACGCGAGTGCATAAAGCAAAATTTATGCATTTATTTAATGCACAACAACAGTAATATGATCTATTAGCAATTCGATTTCAATTCTCAGGGGCTTAAAATCTTTTATGCTTAAGAATTGCAAAGTATTTCTTAGGAAATTCCGAGGTTGCGTTTTTTTTTATACACCCTGTACACCACCCTGTATAATGCAATTTTCTTAGGGAAGCGAAGAATCAAGATTACATCACTGACACGGAAAGTTGACGATTCAACTGTGGCGGCTATTGTTAACACTCGTATTGATAAAATTTGCAAGCGATTGTTTTTATAATATGTTATGTGAATGTAAACTGCCAGAAGAATACGACAACATGATTTTATGCGATCTCTGTGATGGTTCCACTTTAGATGTGTAGAATATGACACTAGTCTAAGTACCTCAAATGAGTGGTTATGCAGACTGCGCACACCACCAGCTGCTAAGAAGCCTAAAATGTGTAGGTAATTTTGTCTCCTTGTAATAAATAAATAAATCACACAATAAATCTTTTCAACTTGCAATCGTTTTGTTTTTAGATCAAAAATTCAAAATTTATATGGGGGGCGAAATTCCTAAAGGGGGGCGATATTCCTAGGAGATTCGCCCCCCAGGGGGGCGCCCCCCTTTTGAGAGGGGGGGGGGCGAATCTCCTGGGGGGGGGCGAATCTCCTGTGACACCGGTATGAATTCATGGCCTTCAAATTCGAATTACACGCTGCATTGTCATTGGTCGGCTTTCAAAACAACAACAGGCCATTTCCGGTAAGAGAGCGAACGTTTGGGGAGTTAGCGAATGGCCTCTGCGAATGGCCTGTTGTTTTTTTGAAAGCCGACCAATGACAATGCAGCGTGTAATTCGAATTTGAAGGCCATGAATTCATACCGGTCACAAACCTCGGAAGATTAGACATTTGTAAGTTTCAATTGGCATTTTCTGCAGGAAGATATTGTTCAATTCTGTTAAAGAAAAGTATATTATGTAAAAATTATCGCTCTTCCGATGTAACGTAATTTGGCGACGATGCGACAGCCGAAGTTCGCGTTATTCGATTGATTTTTGTCAGCGTTTGTCCCAATTACTCCAATTAACGGTCAAAGTGACCAGCCTTCTATTATTTCCTGCTGTTAATCCTCATGCCAACCCCAACTATGGCCGTTAACCTCTTGTCAACGCCAATCTTGGCCGGTTCTCGTTAAAATCTTTCAGGAAACACATGTAAGTGCTTTTCATTATACTATTATATAAAGACATAACGTAATAAATTAATAACACAGGATTTTCTAATGATTTTCAATATACTATTTATATAAAGATATAACGTAATAAATCAATAACACAGGGTAAGATTGGGCTGCCCTGTGTTTAGACCTGAATCCAAGCAACTTAAATTCCGAGATTATTAGCTGACCATGTCAGTGGCGTAACGTTATATCAGGGGCCCCCCGGTTCAAAATTTTCAAAGGCCCCCTAGTAGAAGTGCCAAAGGCACGAGTCGAGCACCGTATATGCACAAGTTTTCTAGGGGGTCCAGGGCATGAATCTAAAAAAATGAAAATGAAATGCCAATTGAAATGCCATTTCCTGGACTTTGGGGAGAGATTTTACAGAATTCTGATGGTCAGAAAATGACATTGTAACATATCAGAGAGGCCCTGGCCAATGTTTTTGCTCTATCGCCTAAGCCTGGGGCCCCCATTTGGCCCATTGGGGTTGGGGGCCCCCAGGTTCTCCCGGTCTGAGACCATAGTAGTTACGCTACTGGACAATGTCCTACACTTAACCATCCTAACCAGTGGCGGAAACTAGGGGGGGGGGGCAGGGGGGTGATCGCCCCCCCCTCCAATAATTTTAGCTAGCTCGTTTTTTATGCTTAGCATATATGATTTATAACAAAATGCACCATTAAATTAATGTTTTAAAAACCTGAAATTTCTTACAAAATGTGCTCTCAGAATGTTGAAAATGCCATTTCAGGGATCCAAATTTTATTCAGTTTATTTGTGCGAAATCATACACACCTTGTATTTTTCGCTTTACCTGAAGTGCCAGTGCAAAATATTTTTGCTTTGGAAGTAGAAATATAAACTTTTTCGTCACTTTAGTATCGATTGTCATGTCGTTTCTATCATAGGCGGTTACTGTATTATAATAGTATATGGTTTGGCGTAACTGTTGCTATAAAGAAAGGGTATGCAAAAGAAAGGACGATAGAAAGTCTGTAGTAGCAGATATCTAACGGAAAAAATCTCGTAGTCGTACCAGATTTCGTAGCCCTAGCGAATCAGTTCTAAAGTTCCCTATATTTAATGTTGTTGATTTCATGTTTATACTAACTTATATTTACTCGCTTTAGTGTGCATTATTTTATTACTTTAGACATCTCTTTTATTAATAGCAAAGTCCAAAGCCAAAGAAGCTAGGATTGTTTACTATAATCTATTGATTTCTATTGACTAGGAATGTAATTAAAATTAATACTTTCAAATTTAAACTTTTTTTAAAAAATGTCAAAGATAAACTACAAACTATATAAAATATCAAATATAAAATCTTCCGTTGACCAGTAGAACTATTTTGCTTTGACAATACAACAAAAATATGTTACAGTCGAACCCCTATTAAGCGGACACCTTCGGGACCTCGCCTAAATGTCCGCTTAAAAGGGGTGTCCGCTTAAAAGGGGTATGTAGAAAAACACAGCAGGAGGCAAAGGTGTGTAATTAGGTGTGTAATTTGAGCATCAAAACAGTATAAAATATCTAGCAAATAATTAGCATAAAATGAAAATTTCAGTTGTGCATTAAAGTTCATTAGAAAATGTATACGTCCCTCACAGTCATATAAAAAAGGAATCGATACAAGTTTGCTTTCGAGGCTCACACAGACGATAGTCTATCATAATGTCATTTACATAAAATTGATAAAAATGGCGTTGGAAAGTTCTTCAGAACCTCGAAATTGTGCGAATTCTGCCAGCCGCTCGACAACTTTAAGGGCTTCGGAGGACGATTTAATGACTGGTTCGTTAAGAGACCAGTCGAATTCATCATCTTCGCTCAGTTCATTGTCATCATCAGTGATCTGACACATATCTTTCGGCTGGCGGCTCACAGTCCTCCGTCCTCGTTCGTCACTTCCTCAATAATCTTGGCTCTGATGTCTTCGCCCCAAGTTGGTGTGTCACTGTCAATTTGCCATGTAAATTGATCTCATTGTTATTTACTGTCGAATATTGAATACATTTTATCAGCTGTCCGCTTAAGAGAGGTTGATTTGTCCATTGGGACCTCAAGTAAGGTGTCCGCGTCCGTTAAAAAGGGGTGTCCGCTTAATAGGGGTTATAATAATAGTATTTTATTAAAGAAAACGAGTTGGACCTGAGATATGTGTCCGCTTAAAAGAGGTGTCCGCTTAAGAGAGGTGTCCGCTTATAGGGGTTCGACTGTATTATAAAAACAACACTTTTATTTATCTATTTTTAAATATTCAGTTTTGTAAAATAGAGAACCGCCCTTTAACAGTGTGTTAGCCTAACACTGTCTGGTTAAACTATTGCTTCTCTCAGTCATAAATTTAACAACAGACTCTCACTGAAAACGACAGCATCCCAGACTCATATTTTGAGCATGATCCATCTGATTATACTGTCGATTAAACTCAAGCGACCCTGGTTAAAATGTAGAGGCTTATAGCAAAGCGGTAAACGCCAAGTTCTTCTTCAGCAAGTTAGTGATTGCATTTAATAGTTCGGGAAAGCATCGTTCGCTGGATGTATTGACGGGGGGAAATGGTTAGCTGCAAAAGTTCTTGGAGAAAAACCAGGACAGTCCGCAGTCAATAACAATCAACATATTGCTACTGCAGACATTCCCGTCCTGTCCGACTTTGCAATTCCCTGTTTCGGCAGTTTTTCTGAGTATCTCGAATCACTTGGACATGTTCCCCAGCAACAGTGCTTAGCATTAACCATGTTTGTAATTTGGGATAAATTTGAATTCGCTTTAGCACAGATAAGATAAATAAAAACATCAATTTAGACCAATTTATGTTCGCTGCTGGTACAATTCTGTACAAAATGTTAGTTTGTTTGTCTGAGTCTCGTGGGGGGTCTTCATTTGGAGAATCTATTTTTAGCTACTGTGGACAGCACTATTAGTCAGTTCTGTGCATGGCTTGACTGCCAAGCTTTCTCAAGGTCTCAACTTGCTGGACGCGGATATACTCTAACGGGTATTAACAACAGCAACTTACAATGAAATTCTCAATCATACCACGAAGAAGGTGATGTAGCTCAGAAAACAATGCCGGTAGGACCTGATATTAAAAATAAGACTTCTCCCGGTGAAGCTAGTTGAGTTGGTAGAACATCTTGGCTGCCAACAACAAGCTTTCGAATACACGACTAGTTTGGCTGTTCTTCCAGTGTAGTGACAGTAGTGTGTCCAAAATTCATCAAAGATTTTGATAAAGCCCTTTCAAAATACTGTTTGTTTGATTTATTTTCTGCCATAAAGCATAATTAAAAGAAAAGAAATTCGAAGAAATCGACAATGGAATTTGTTACGTGCGTTTGACCAGAGTTTATATTGGGTCATTCCAGAAAAGATCCATACCCCCCCCCCTACGGAGGAAATCGAAAATAACCCCCTCCCCCCCTTCGGACATCCTTGAATGGTTCATCCTCCCCCCCTCTCCGGACATCCAAGCCCAAAATTACCCCCCTCCCCTTCGGACATCCACTATTTCTAAATTTTTCTAAAGGCTACCTCGCCGTTTGAAAACGTCACCGAAAATTGGACTACGTTCACACTACGCGCGAGCGAACTAATGCGGGCAGAATTTACGTGTGTTCATACTACCGCCATTACAGTTTGTTTACAAATTGAATTAGCACTCGTGTAAACCCAAAATATTTCAAATAGACCCAAGAAATTTAACTGAAAAGCATTCAAGTTTACACGTTTGTGTTCACACGAAGCTATCACTCGCTCCGTTTAGAAACCGTGCTCAAATTGTTACGGCAAAAGTGACGTGAAAGTTTGCAAACGATTTGCTCCAGCGTAGAGTGAATTAGCGATGGCTTATTGTGACTTTTCTATGCTGTTCTCAAATAGCTCTGGCGTGGCGGAACACTTGGCGGCTTCTTGTGACTTGCGAACACAAACACGTGGCAGGTTTTGTCGGATAATTTGCAGAAATTCACTTCGAAATTCGTTCAAGTAAAATTCGGACTGAAATTCGATGTAACTTGCGACTGATTGACAAGCGTTGCTGTGTTTACTTACATGCTAATACATTTTGTAGTATTACTGCATTCCTTAACCTCGCCCTTAATATGAAAGCCATTTCTATTTTCTAGATACGCACCTCGCAAGGAAGCTTTATTGACTATATACTAAAACAAACTGTTTTGAGTTCAGTTCACATAGCAGTCTCTTAACTCGAGCAACAGTTTAATAACTATTACTTTTAACACTTGAATAATTCAAACTTATATATATATACGAACGAAAACTGCAAACTATATAAATAAAGCGTGTCAATTTTCGACTCATTCTCAACATGCAGGATACGCTGTTACAGCGAGTTAGTTTTTGGTGGCCACGTTCCGGTGTTCAAGAGCTGCATATATATAGCCGCTAAAAATTGCGGGCTCATTATAATCGCCGATCACATGGCTTTATCACAGTCTCAAACCTTCAGACAAACATATCCACATCCCTCTCCCCCCCTTCGGACATCCTAAGACATTTTTCCTCTCCCCCCCGGACATCCTAAGACATTTTTCCTCCCTCCCCCTTCGGACAGCAAAAATTTCCTCCGTGGGGGGGTATGGATCTTTTCTGGAACGACCCATTGTCGCCTTGAGCGAGCTATTTTTAAAACTGTTGTTTATGTGAACTTGCAGCCAATCAAAATCTTTCATGATGCTGATCAACCAATCAGATTTCCCATCCACCAGATGGACGGGAATTCCACGGTTTAGACAGGTTTTGTGTCAGGCCCTATTCTGTGATTAGGGCCTGAACTTCAGGTTACCACTGATCCTAACTAGTGACCTAGCTAGAATTCTTCAGGAGTAAGAATCTTGATGTTCCTTGTGGGCAAAGGGTTTACAAACCCTGGAATTCCTTGCGGGTAACTGTTTTGAGCAATTCTTCAGAGGTATAACTATAATATGTAAACATGTACATATGGGGAGGGGGGGAGGGGTAGCAATTGAATGGAATAGCCCAGTCTTTACTGAAAAGACAATTGTTTACCTTGATACAAATTATACTAAAATTATACTAATAATTGAAATGACTCATGAGTATATTAAATTTGAATACCTTGCGCACATCATAATTCTTCTCATTGACTTTTTCTGCAACAGCTCTTGTTTCATTTTGTGAAGGCTCAGGCATACATGTACGGCCTACTTGAATACCACTAGGCAACTTTATGTTGTTTAAACAGTCCCATACAAACTCTGTTGCATCGAAATCTTCACAATAAACAAGGGCAACTGGCGTACTTCCGCGATCTAAATAACGAACGCCCAAAATGGAAACACCCAAAGATCTCAACAGCTCGGTATTGGTAATCCATTTGTGTAGTTTTTCTGCTGGATATGCCGATGGATCGCTTACTTTCAATAGAAAGCAAAATTCGCTATCTTTGCCATACTGAAAGTCCTGTCTGTGCTCAGTGTGCTGTCTTAATAATCTGTGATTGCGTTCTGCTTGAACTTCGACGTCGTGCTGGTGCACCGATCTCTGATATTGTCTCTCATTTATAGTTTCTTGTGGTTCAGGTATAAAAGCTGGCTTACTTCCTTTGGTGCCCATTTATATAAAATAAAAACTGAATTTTACTTTAATTTACTGTAAAGCAACCTCGTAGCGAACGAGGTTGAATTTAAAGTTGTGCCAATGCCATATCATATACTTCGTTTTTACTTTCACTTTGCATTTCGCCGTCACACTTGCGCACTTAGCACTTACGTCACCACCACCAGTATTATTTCCTGGCGGCGTGTTTCCACTTTATAAATAATTCATTTCCGCACATTTTTCCGCATGAGTTGCGCATTTTGCGCATAAGAAATATTCCAAGGAAGTCTTGTAGTTATAAACGATCATGACTAAATAAGATAACATAACATGTTGTGATAAAATGGTCCAGTCCAGGCTGAAAGATTTTAATTTGGTTGCATAGATTTATTTTGACTGTTTTAACTTTAGATTTATCTCAGGTTTATCCACTGGAAAAACAAACGCGCTTACATAAAGTATCCAAGTTTGCTTCACAGGACTCAAAAATAGTATGAAGAACAGTAAAGTAGTTATCTCTTCTTGCGAGAAAGATTTTATTTTATCATGCGTACGCAGTGGCAAGGTATACTTTCTACAATGTTATATGTACAATCTCTGATATACAATATAAAGAAATGAAATATATCATCATGTGTCTGTTTTAGCGCATGGATCGTCGTCACACATATGACTACAGAAAACTACAGATATCATTTGGAGTAGATCGAGGTCATTGCGAGGTTCAGTTAGGTAAAACTAGGTAAGGATTATATCAGCAGGGATTTATTATACAAGCATTTTGGTCTACTACTGGGATTTTTAAGGAAAATTGAGTTTCAGTGTTTATAGTGGGAGAGCACTTCCACAGTTTGCCCCACCACCCACCCCCAGGGAAATTTTTGATTTTGTCTCTGAAATATTAACATTCCCCACATGCAGACAACACTTTTGAGCAAAAATATAACTGTTGCAAAACAGAATTTTTATAGCATGTTGAATTTCAGAAGGTCCTCATTCAAATGGCGGTTCAATAAAATCAGCTGCAGCCTTTCACTGAAACTTGGCATCTCTGCCAAATGTCTGCTGCAGTAATTTTGTTAGCCAATGATAAATACAGCAACATACTTTGTATATTATCATACTTTGTATGTGAGAAGTGGTCCCTTTTGGTCACAATTATGCACTAGTCAATTGAAACCCTGGCCCCCCGACCCCGGGATAGGGCGGGGGAAATTAACATTTTGACAATGTTAAAGTTTGGTAATTACCCCACTACCGGGGGAATATTGACTGTTAAAGTTACCGCCCCTATGGCCCCGGCACTTTGCAAATTATAATGGAAATCGTTGAAGAATAAAATGTTCACAACATGTGAAGGCGATTCTTGATCTTAAACTTTGATCCACATCAAAAGATACTGAATAATCTACATTTCAAGTATCTTGCAGTCATCATCAGGAATGTATAAAAAGTGAAAATATATTCCCTTTTTTTAAAGAAAAACTATGAGGAAACAATTCTCTGATTTTGAAGATTCCGCCATGTTGCCACAAGGATAAACTCATTCCAGTCCACTTTCATATCAGCCGTGCGTTAAAGTCCCGGCTATTGGCCCGGCTAATAAATTGACTTCTTATTTACCCTGTACCCGGGGGGAAATAGTGCATTAAAACCGTGTTAATCCACGGCCATTCCCCCGTTAATTCCCTGCCCTGTCCCGGGGGGCCGGGGTTTCAATTGACTAGCTATAGTGCATTAATACTTAATAAATGATTTTCTCTATACCTTTATGTCATCTAGAGTGCTAGCTCAAGTATCGAGTGAGGTAGTATGTCCACCACCAAACAGGCCATCTGAGGGACAATTGTTTTTTAATCTTGAACTTTCTCCAATGGCGTCACCTGCTTATGAAACAGGAAGGTATGACTGCCATATTACTAAAGCGTTCTTACAGACTCTTCCTTACCATTGTCAAACTTTTAGACTAGAGCCTAACTTCAGTTGCTACTTGTTTAATTAATGTCCTGCTTTGGATGAAACTGTCAGCCTCAATTGAAAAAAAATAATATTGTTTTGGCCAGTCAGACACTTGGTTATTTCACTGATAAAACCTGTAGACAAATTATATAACTCTATCCTTTCAAATTTTTTTAGCTATGTTACACACAACTTTTTGACTACAGCATTCAGGGAGGCAGACACTTGCAGCCACAAATGGTGTATCCCCTTAATAATTTCTGAAAGTCTGTGAATGACAGCTTCAGGACTGGTTATATTGTGCAATTAACAAAGCAGAAACAAATATTTTATAACCACAAAAGACATAAATAAGCATGAAATGTACATATGAAATCGAAGTATATTAAAGAGAAAAAATATGGCCTGCCAGTCTAAAAATTTTTGGCAGGCAAAATAAATTTTAGCCTGCTATTTTATTCATTGAACTGCCAAAATGGCGATGTCTCATATGAGTCACATTGTGAAAATCAATGTTTTCATGATATGCATTTTTATAGTTTTTAAACTTGTCTATTTTACTACAATAAACTTGGATTTACATTTCAAATATAAATGTATTTTGCATTTTTCCTTTGTCAACATCACTTATTATGTCAGCAAAAGTGATGCTGACAAAGAAAAAGTCACTTTGCACGAACCATAGTTACGAACGAATTTGCCTTGTGGAAAACCATAGGAAAACTGGCGCAAAGAGTAGTATGTCAAACTGGAGCATAGACAGCATTGACAAAGACTCTCCATTGTTGATAGGGTGGGCAAACCTATGTTCTTGACAATGAGTTTCCCGTAATGATTAATGATCAACTGATTCCCAGAGTGCACTCAATCCCGTGTTTGGGAGTTAAACTTGATGAAACATTGAATTGGGACGAATATATTGAAATGGTTTGCAAAAAAGTCGGAGCGGGCATAGGAATTCTAAAGCGTATCAAGCCCTATGTTCCTGCAAACACATTGATATCAATTTATAATGCTCTGATACAGCCTTACTTCGATTACTGCTCTCCTCTTTGGGGGATTTGTAACAAAACACTAAGAGATAATTTACAAAAGTTCCAAAATTGGGCCACCAGAATAATAGCTGGCGCCAGTTATGAGATCAGATCTGCTGACGTTCTTCGAACTCTTGACTAGGATAATTTGGAAACAAGATCATGGTACTTAACCAAGGCAACATTCTTATATATAGTCTTGAGTAATAGTGCTGCACCAACACTGAAAGATTCATTCATAAGTAGAAATATTTTACTAAACAATTATAATCTTAGAAATTCTCAAACTGATCAGACCCTTCCAAAGCGAAACAGAAAATTTCTCAAAAGAAGCTTTAAATATAGCGGTGCTTATCTTTGGAATAACCTTCCGCTTGAAGCTAAGCAAGCTCAATCAATTTATATATTTAAAAGTTGTATAAAACAAAATTTTTGATGTTAATAACCGAGTCTGGATTCAGTTAATCATATCTTTATCTGGGACACACCATCATGGTTTACAGTAGCTTTTGACAATGTACATATTGTAGTAGACTTAGTTTCCTTCCTTTTTATATTCTTTGTAATATTTTTTATATGGACGCCCCCCATGGAAATCAACTTTTGTAGTTGTCGGGGCTAGTGTCGCTAAATAAAGTATGTATGTATGTATGTATATGTATGTATGTTCTTATGCCCTGCTTGGGAATGGCGGAGTTAACTAAAATTTAACGTCCTTAATTTAGATTATCAGAACATACAGTTGAATTAAACAGATTACTTGAAAGAGTTTACAAACAGTCTCAATGTATAGATGTTGAGTCATTGTGTATTGTGACTGGGGAAAAGGTAATCAGTAGCACTTATAATAATGTTGCAATAATGCAGGTGGCGTATTCAGATATTCCCGCACTTCTCCACCATAGCTGTAGAAAGTTTCTGGTGTCAGGCGAGTTTTACTGCCTGAGAGAAGGCTTTAGTGAAACAGGACCCCCTGATCCAGGGTACTAGCACTCCTCGTAGGATAACAAGAGTTCCATTCAATTACTTCTGTTCCTGGATTGACATCAACTCAGACCCTGCTTATTGCTTATACTAGAGCGAAAGTTTTCAGATTCACGTTGCCGTTTACATACGCAGCAACGAATCCGATAGTAAATCTTCTCGGTTTCATGCGATGCCGTGTCTGGAAACTCTGAATCCGGAAAAGTTTGT